TGACCAAATACTTATTTTCCACCATAATTTGCAAATAAATTCATTAAAGATCCTACAATGTGATTTTCTGGATTTTTTTCCCTCATTTTGTCTGTCATAGTTGACGTGTACCTATGATGAAAATTACAGGCCTCTCTCATCTTTTTAAGTGGGAGAACTTGCACAATTGGTGGCTGACTAAATACTTTTTTTCCCCACTGTAAGTGTCCTTCATCATTCTTCAGAGGTCGAACTTAAATGTGCATTTCATCTCTAGGACAGGAAATTACGTTGAAATAGTGGCGGCAACTTCCTCTGGGGAGGGGTTCCTTTAATGCACTGACTGTAAGTTGAACTACAAATTACAAAATAGGTATTGACACTATTAAAATACCTATATCAAATACACGTAACAGAAATACTGCCCATCGTTGACACTAGCTGCCTGCACGGTAACTCTGCAACAATTACTAACCACTGTACTTCCAGTAATGCACTGTAAATGCTGTAAATTTGTGTTTCAGTAAAGGTCTATGCTGCCATTACTTTACTGTAAGAATTACAGGACCTTTTTTTTTTTTTTTTACAGTGTAGATACAGTGGGGAGAACAAGTATTTGATACACTGCCGATTTTGCAGGTTTTCCTACTTACAAAGCATGTAGAGGTCTGCAATTTTTATCATAGGTACACTTCAACTGTGAGAGACGGAATCTAAAACAAAAATCCAGAAAATCACATTGTATGATTTTTAAGTAATTAATTTGCTTTTTATTGCATGACATAAGTATTTGATCACCTACCAACCAGTACGAATTCCGGCTCTCACAGACCTGTTAGTTTTTCTTTAAGAAGCCCTCCTGTTCTCCACTCATTACCTGTATTAACTGCACCTGTTTGAACTCGTTACCTGTATAAAAGACACCTGTCCACACACTCAATCAAACAGACTCCAACCTCTCCACAATGTCCAAGACCAGAGAGCTGTGTAAGGACATCAGGGATAAAATTGTAGACCTGCATAAGGCTGGGATGGGCTACAGGACAATAGGCAAGCAGCTTGTTGAGAAGGCAACAACTGTTGGCACATTTATTAGAAAATGGAAGAAGTTCAAGATGACGGTCAATCACCCTCGGTCTGGGGCTCCATGCAAGATCTCACCTCGTGGGGCATCAATGATCATGAGGAAGGTGAGGGATCAGCCCAAAACTACACGGCAGGACCTGGTCAATAACCTGAAGAGAGCTGGGACCACAGTCTCAAAGAAAACCATTAGTAACACACTACGCCGTCATGGATTAAAATCCTGCAGCGCACGCAAGGTCCCCCTGCTCAAGCCAGCGCATGTCCAGGCCCGTCTGAAGTTTGCCAATGACCATCTGGATGATCCAGAGGAGGAATGGGAGAAGTACATGAGGTCTGATGAGACAAAAATAGATATTTTTGGTCTCAACTCCACTTGCCGTGTTTGCAGGAAGAAGAAGGATGAGTACAACCCCAAGAACATCATCCCAACCGTGAAGCATGGAGGTGTAAACATCATTCTTTGGGGATGCTTTTCTGCAAAGGGGACAGGACGACTGCACCGTATTGAGGGGAGGATGGATGGGGCCATGTATCGCGAGATCTTGGCCAACAACCTCCTTCCCTCAGTAAGAGCTTTGAAGATGGGTCGTGGCTGGGTCTTCCAGCATGACAACGACCTGAAACACACAGCCAGGGCAACTAAGGAGTGGCTCCGTAAGAAGCATCTCAAGGTCCTGGAGTGGCCTAGCCAGTCTCCAGACCTGAACCCAATAGAAAATATTTGGAGGGAGCTGAAAGTCCGTATTGCCCAGCGACAGCCCCGAAACCTGAAGGATCTGGAGAAGGTCTGTACGGAGGAGTGGGCCAAAATCCCTGCTGCAGTGTGTGCAAACCTGGTCAAGACCTACAGGAAACGTATGATCTCTGTAATTGCAAACAAAGGTTTCTGTACCAAATATTAAGTTCTGCTTTTCTGATGTATCAAATACTTATGCCATGCAATAAAATGCAAATTAATTACTTAAAAATAATACAATGTGATTTTCTGTATTTATGTTTTAGATTCCATCTCTCACAGTTGAAGTGTACCTATGATAAAAATTACAGACCTCTACATGCTTTGTAAGTAGGAAAACCTGCAAAATCGGCAGTGTATCAAATACTTGTTCTCCCCACTGTAGATAGGTAGGCAGGTAGATAGGTTTGTAGGTAGGTAGGGCTGGAGTACAACTAGGTCATCTTAATGATGTGCTGACTGACGTCAGAGATAAGACAGCAGTCCAAGGGTGATCGCTTATCTAACTTTATTAATTATGACATTCATGGACACATTGTAGGGTTCCTAAATGGCACCCTATTTCTAATATAGTGCACTTGTGCACTTTATAGAGAATAGGGTGTCATTTGGGACACTACCTATTTGTCCCTGGGATTGAAGGCCTATCATATCCAAGTTATGTTTCGATTGAAGCCTTATATGTCAGGGCAACGATAAGTTATCTTGGTTATGCTTCTGTTCAGGAAATAGGGGATGGTGGTTCATAATTGTTTGGTAGTAGTTTAACTAAACTATTGTTTGGTACTAGTTGAACTAAACTATTTTACACTAGTTGAACAAAACCAATTAAACTACAAAACTAAGACACTATTACATCTTTAACATTCAAAAATCAGGGAAAGTTCCTAACAATCAAATCATGTTATATTATTAAACTATATCACAACATGGGATAATTGGATTCTCCCTTAATAAATATGACAGTTAAAACATCAACCTATGAAGGGTTCTATCGAGAACCCTTTTATCTTTGGAGGGTTCTTTCTAGAATCCTCTATGAACGGGTAGAGCCCACCAGCCTTATTAGCCTTTAAAATGTGATTATTTATGACAATACATTACATACACTGAGTATAAAAAACATTAAGAACACCTGCTCTTTCCATGATATAGACTGACCAGGTCAATCCAGGTAAAAGTTATGATCTCTTATTGATGTCACTTGTTAAATCCACTTCAATCAGTGTAGATGAAGGGGAGGAGACAGGTTAAAGAATGATTTTTAAGCCTTGAGACAATTGAGACAATTGTATGTGTGGCATTCAGAGGGTGAATGGGCAAGACAAAATATTTAAGTGTATTTGAACGGGGTATGGTAGTAGGTGCCAGGCGCACCGGTTTGTGTCAACAACTGCACTGCTACTGGGTTTTTCATGCTCAACCGTTTCCCGTGTGTATCAAGAATGGTTCACCACCCAAAGGACATCCAGCCAACTTGACTCAACTGTGGGAAGCATTGGAGTCAAAATGGGAATGGGAATGCTTTCGACACCTTGTAGAGTCCATGCCCCGACGAATTGAGGCTTTTCTGAGGGTAACCTTAATCACCCACAACCTGCATTCAGAATGACTGCCAGGGTAGGGAAGATTGAATACTGAGACTACCTTAAACATCTAAACTGGAACAACCATCTCTGCAATGGGTGCAATAAATCAAATAACGAACAGATTGGATTAGTTTAGAAAACTGTATGTTCTTTATCTTCGTGTAACATAAAATGAATCAACCAATCTCTGTGTTGTTGTTGTTTTTATCGCACTGCTTTGCTTTATCTTGGCCAGGTCGCAGTTGTAAATGAGAACTTGTTCTCAACTGGCTTACCTGGTTAAATAAAGGTGAAATAAAATAAATAAAATAAAATCAATGCAAAAACACAGATATTACAGTAAACAACAATTTCTGAAAATATCCAATAGCTCATGCTGGGAACTATTATATATGGTTCTATGTAGAACCCTTATTGCCTTCCAAAGAATCATCAAATAACCCTTTCTTCCAAAAATGGTTCTTAGGATGATAAAGGTTCTAGGTAAAACCCTTTGACTTACAAAGAACCCTTGTTTCTTCAGAATATAACCTCTCACTTTCAGTTATTTGAAAAGGAAATCATCTCCCAAATATCACTATTTCTAAAACAAGCCATAGAAAGTTGGATGCAATTTCAATTTAATCCTCTAGAAACGACAGAACAAATAATGCAACAAATATTGTGGTTAAACTCAAATATACTAACTGATAAAAAACCATTAAAAAAAAAAAAAAACTTTAAAAAATAGGTATAATCTTCGTAAATGATATCATAGGTAGGACTGGTGGAGTTATGTATGTATATATATATATATTTGCAAAAAATATATATGGGGGATTGGAAGTGATGCAGACAATTACATTGATGGAAGTTACAATCTATCTGCAATATTAAAGCAGATCTTTAAGACAAGAACCGTTGTCTTCCAAAAAGGGTTCTTCTGATCAAAACGGTTCTTGGTAGAACCTTATCCCTCCAAAAATAATCATTTTGGAACCCTTTTTTCTAAGAATGTACTTACTTGTGATCTGTTTTCTTACTTATCTGAAGTATTTGAGATGTTTTCTTCTTAGAACATGCCCTTGTTGTTAACGGCGGCACTGAATGGTGAACGGTGTATAGTGTTCTTGTGTTGGGCACTACTGAATAGTAACAAACAAATTCGATTTTTATGACTTTCAAATACGACTTCACTGTATTTGTGAAAGGAGTGACTGAAACAAAACACACAAGAAAGCCTAACACCTTACCATTGCACTTGGCTTTCTTGCATTAACACTTGCACTTGTCTTTTCTTCCAAGCACTGATTTTGCTGATAGCTGCTTTATTGAGGAAAGTTTGACTTACAGTGATATGTGGTTGTTGTACCTAGAGGTTAACGTACTAACTGTAAGTCGCTCTGGATAAGAGGGTCTGCTAAATTATTAAAATGTAAAATGTAACATTTCATTTGTAATGTTCATTATAATCTCTCATGGACAGACTATGTAACATATGGAATCTGATGCAATTATCCAAGATTTTATGTTCATTATAATCGTACTGTATTCACCACCAGTCGAGTATGATCAAAGAGCTAGAGAGGATTTGTTCGGCATATTGTTGAGGCAACAAACTCAACACAGAAACTATTCATATTTTATTAAGAAAATCATCTAAATCATGTTCAACATTGAATATTGTAGTTTATGAAAAGTAACTTCCCTTTTGACAAACGGACTCAGTTATTTAGTACAAAAATATCCCTGTCTACATTCACCCCACATTGTTAGAACATGTCAATATGTACAGAGTTCGAATTACGGGACTAGGGTGAGCTAGGCACCTCCCTAACAAATTGAACCCTGAATAAGTATGAAAAACTTGTAAGACATACAGTATGTATACACATAATATGTGGCATATTGATTTTGGATTATAGTGCCACCAGATCAGGGACACATCTCTTAGTTAACATCCTTGTTGTCCCCAAACCACATTTTCTCAGATGTTCTCAGTCTACCATGCACCTCCCATTGGTCCTCCTCAAAGCGGTAACACCAGACTCAGCAGTAGTGGAGGAGGATGTTTAGGAGGAGGTAGGGCAGACAGGCTCTCCCTCAACCATGTACCACACCTCATTGTGCCTGTTCAGAATCTTCATTGGGCTGTAGGACACACACACACACACACACACAATATTAAAGTATGTTTGATAGAAGTATTCTGGTGGAATTGGATTGGATGTTGGATATATTGAAGGATTTGTATCCGTGCTCTCACCTGTCATATCCCACAGCATAGTGGTAGTCTTTGTTGTAGGTGGCCTGGACTTTGTCTAGCTGCCTTTTCAGCAGCATGGAGTTTACACTGGATGTCAAAGACATCATCCATCCGCCGTAGCTCCTCACGTACACTTTCATGTCTGGCATCTCTGTAAAGTACACCTGCACCGGGAAATCACAATGACATCCACATTGTTAACCAGCAGTCTTTAAAAAAACATCACATACCGGACATGGGTTCAAATGGTTTTGTGTTTTTTCAAATACTTAATTGATTGAGCTTGCCTGGCTCAATGGCGCCAATGGAATAGTCCCAAAGGTGCAAACCCCGCCCACCTGGCGCTCTATAAAAGCTAAATCTACGTTTTTGAACCCAGGTCTGATAGACAATCATATTAGGTTCAACTTAGATTCAGCTTTTCTAGAGTGCCAGGAGGGCGGGGTTTGCACTTTTGGGACTATTCCATTGGTACCATTGAGCCAGGCAGTATTTGAAAAAACACACACAATATAACACACAAATACTACATACCCCTGGCAACGATGTGGATGTCATTGTGTCAGGTTGACAGGTTTTTGACAGGCGTCAGCAATATAGTGACCTCTAATAGGCTAAGTGGAGGTTTCACCATATTGCTTATACCAATCAAATCCTCTCAGATCTCCACAAGTGCATAGGGCATAGGGTCTATTTGGGATTGGGCTTTACCTTGTCATCAGTGGGTTGGGGAGGAGTCATCTGATGGGTAGACGGCAGGAGGAAGCTGAGGGTGAAGACAGACGACGCCCACATCTTCTTCTTCTCTTCAATTTTGACAGTCACCGGAGCTGTCATGTCAATGTTGACGCCTATAGGAAAAATTTGTGTAAGCACTTGTTACCAGGTAGACACACGCATGGAAACCGAGACTCATGCAAGTGCATCCACACGCACACAAATATATTGATACACACACACACACACACCAGCATTGTTTGATCCGGTGATATATTTGAAGAGTCTCCTGAAGGCAGTGTAGGTGGCCTTGTCCATGAAGTATGATTCTTCATCTGTCGACACCCATTTCACCGAGTCATAGTGGCGCACCTGTAACACAGACACAAACCTTCACTCAGAGTCCTGTGTTGGAGAGTGTATTGAGTTACAGATGTTGGGGATGGGATTAGGATGAGACTGTGCAAAAAGTGCAACAACCCTGCATAACTGATCTACAACATGTTTCCGAATACAGATACCCAATACGATAACCATGGGGATAATAATGATGTTGATTTGATATATTCTAATGTAAATGCTATTGTTTTGTATCTGCTACCCTGACCAACAACTAAGCATCAAAAATAACTCCTGACTAGGTTGTAGCCTTTTATTTGTGCTTTACAATAGACTCACCTCATAATCGTCATTCTTGCACACCAGATCATACAGCAGACATTCCTTTGACTCTGTGCAGAAGCGAGACTCAGAGGAGTTCCTATAGGGATCAGTGGAAAACAAATCAATAAAGGACAATAGCATATGATTTAGCACAGATACCGTTAATTCAATATACAAAAATAGTATTAATTCTGAAATGTGTGGTTATGATGTGTGGAAAATAATAACAGAAGTGTATTATAACTTCCTTACCCAATTCTGGCTTCAGCAGTCAAGATGAGAAGCAAGCCAACCAACCCTGCAAAATAAACCCTGAAGTACACAAACAGTCAGTGTTATCACATTAAAAACCTAAAGTACACACAGTCAGTGACATCATCATATGAAAAATCTATTATACAGACATAACTCATTAAGATTGCAATATTGAAATACTTTAAAAGACAGTAAACTATGTTATTACACATTTCTATTACTATAAAATCACTCTTCCTTTAATTACTTAACACCATCACAAATCAAACAAACCTAATCAATGCAATGATAACCTATAATTTCTACTTACATTGTGCTGAGTGTGTGTCTTTTAGATCAGCTCAGTTCAGATGCATCCACTGGCCTGAGGGAAATGCTTGCAGATAAACTATTTATACCAACTGAGGGTTATTTGTATCACTCCCCAAAACACACCCACTTCACCACAGAATGTGCAATGGACTTCACGTGCTGAAGAGAAGAAAAGGTGGTTTATAAATAAGTGTGTGCCAAGTTAGATAACGTGAGACGATCGATCTTGATGCGTTTTTGAAAAACAAGTATAGGCTTATTGAGAAAGAGGCTGTGACTAGATCCGTCACGTGTGGTAGACTATTATATATTTCTGTTTCGTAATTACAACCTTTGCTGTTTCGCAATAACAGCCTGGCTGTCACGTCTAGACTAAATAAATAGCACTTGCATGTATTTTGTTCACTGAGCACTGCTGGGTCAACATTCCCAATCACTAGTGGGCAATGGAGAAGCCCTGTTTATAACTGATGCTAACATGGACTCTTTGTCCTGATATTGTCCACATTCTGATTGTGCCCACATTTTTGGACAGGTGTAGATGATTCAAAGACACATTGTGATCAGATCTTCCTGACCACCTCCGGAGGTAATCCACATTTATTATGATATTAAGTTGTTATAATGCAGAGTGAAATTAAATGCACATTTGGCAAACATTTTCCAATTCATATCAAACCATATTCCCCACCTATAAAATCAGATAGGACAGCACTTGCACGACCCAAAGAGCTCAGCTTTGACCCCGACAAAGAGAAGAGTAGCCTAGAAAACAGAACTCTGGGGTGTATCTCAATAGTCTGAAATGGCTTCATTTAAAACAATTGTTTTAGTCATTTAGCAGACACTTTTATCCAGAAGGATTTGCAGGTGCGATTACGGTTAAGTGCCTTGATCAAGGGCACATCGGCAGATGTATCCACCTAGTCAGCTCGGGGATTTGAACCGGCAACCTTTCAATTACTTGCCCAACACTCCCTACCACTAGGCTACCTCACCTCGTCTCCATTCACATGGGCTGACCTGAAGATATAAAGGATAAGTGGTGAATACAAAACGACGCTCCTCACTTTGAATCTGATTTCAACTGTCTCTGTTCTTTCACATCAGTGTAGGAAAGGAGACACGAAAACAAGAAAAGGAAGCCACTGAATATCAAGTTGGATGCAGTCATGGACTGAACCCTGTCCTAGATTTAGCAAATAGCCTCCCTGGCATGCGCAATCAAAGTCAGTTCAGTTTAAATGACCTTTAACAAACCTCCAACGTCCCCTGTGATGTCAGCTGGTCACCACCTCAGGGGCTCAACGGGCGACGGCCTTCACTTGGTGACTTCAGCCTCAGAAGAAGAAAAACTCAAAATAACTCACATGATCCCCTGTCTTATGTCCGTTCTATGTGGCGTAAGCATGTGCTTCATGTCAAATTCTTAGCCAACACGTTACCATAGCCTGATTCAACCAGAACCATGAAACTGTATGTTGTGGACATTTCCAAGGCAACAAGTCAGGGGAAACGGCAGTTTGTCACACTGGCTGCAGAGCCGATCGTTGTTGTAGTTGTTGTTGTTGTTATTGTTGTTGTTGTTGCTGTTCAAAAACGTTACATTTGTAGATAAAATGAGCTTGTGAGAGTGATTGAACAAAACATCAGAGGTGTGTTTGTTTCTCTCTGAGCTTGAGACGCCCTGTTCCAACACAAAGCATTAGAGTGCAGTTCAGTTTACACTCAGAAAAAAAGGGTTCCAAAAGGGTTCTTTGCGGAGGGATAGGGTTCTGCCAAGAACTGTTTTCATCTGAAGAACCCTTTTTGCAAGACAAAGGGTCTTGGTAAGGCAAAGAGTTCTACTTAGAACCTTTTTCATCCTAAAAAACGTTTTCGGAAGAAAGGGTTCTTTGATGATTGTTTGGAAGGCCAGAAGGATACTTTGGAAGGCAAGAAGGGTTCTACAAAAAACCCTTCTTAATCTGAAAATGCTTTTGCCTGAGCATTAGTGTTTACCTCAGTGTTTAAACTTTAACATCAGGAGTTCGAGTAATCTGCTAAATTAAAAAAGATATGTGTGAGAATGTTTTAAACTGTACCTACAGTATATGGGAATATTTGTGCATGTATTTGATATTCCCTTAATTATTTTACATATACTGACATACAGTGAGGGAAAAAAGTATTTGATCCCCTGCTGATTTTGTACGTTTGCCCACTGACAAAGAAATGATCAGTCTATAATTTTAATGGTAGGTTTATTTGAACAGTGAGAGACAGAATAACAACAAAAAATCCAGAAGAACGCATGTCAAAAATGTTATGAATTGATTTGCATTTTAATGAGGGAAATAAGTATTTGACCCCTCTGCAAAACATGACTTAGTACTTGGTGGCAAAACCCTTGTTGGCAATCACAGAGGTCAGACGTTTCTTGTAGTTGGCCACCAGGTTTGCACACATCTCAGGAGGGATGTTGTCCCACTCCTCTTTGCAGATCTTCTCCAAGTCATTAAGGTTTCGAGGCTGACGTTTGGCAACTCGAACCTTCAGCTCCCTCCACAGATTTTCTATGGGATTAAGGTCTGGAGACTGGCTAGGCCACTCCAGGACCTTAATGTGCTTCTTCTTGAGCCACTCCTTTGTTGCCTTGGCCGTGTGGTCATTGTCATGCTGGAATACCATCCACAACCCATTTTCAATGCCCTGGCTGAGGGAAGGTTTTGACGGTACATGGCCCCGTCCATCATCCCTTTGATGCGGTGAAGTTGTCCTGTCCCCTTAGCAGAAAAACACCCCCAAAGCATAATGTTTCCACCTCCATGTTTGACGGTGGGGATGGTGTTCTTGGGGTCATAGGCAGCATTCCTCCTCCTCCAAACACGGCGAGTTGAGTTGATGCCAAAGAGCTCGATTTTGGTCTCATCTGACCGCAACACTTTCACCCAGTTCTCCTCTGAATCATTCAGATGTTCATTGGCAAACTTCAGACTTGCATGTATATGTGCTTTCTTGAGCAGGGGGACCTTGCGGGCGCTGCAGGATTTCAGTTCTTCGCGGCATAGTGTGTTACCAATTGTTTTCTTGGTGACTATGGTCCCAGCTGCCTTGAGATCATTGACAAGATCCTCCCGTGTAGTTCTGAGCTGATTCCTCACCGTTCTCATGATCATTGCAACTCCACGAGGTGAGATCTTGCATGGAGCCCCAGGCCGAGGGAGATTGACAGGTCTTTTGTGTTTCTTCCATTTGCGAATAATCGCACCAACTGTTGTCACCTTCTCACCAAGCTGCTTGGCGATGGTCTTGTAGCCCATTCCAGCCTTGTGTAGGTCTACAATCTTGTCCCTGACATCCTTGGAGAGCTCTTTGGTCTTGGCCATGGTGGAGAGTTTGGAATCTGATTGATTGATTGCTTCTGTGGACAGGTGTCTTTAAGAGTGTGCTCCTAATCTCAGCTCGTTACCTGTATAAAAGACACCTGGGAGCCAGAAGTCTTTCTTATTGAGAGGGGGTCAAATACTTATTTCCCTCATTAAAATGCAAATCAATTTATAACATTTTTGACATGCGTTTTTCTGGATTTTGTTGTTGTTATTCTGTCTCTCACTGTTCAAATAAACCTACCATTAAAATTATAGACTGATCATTTCTTTGTCAGTGGGCAAACGTACAAAATCAGCAGGGAATCAAATACTTTTTGCCATTATTTTCTGTGATTTTAACAATGAGCAGAGAGTAGGAGAATATAAGGGAGTATGAGTGAACTAGCAGTGTATTGTGTGGTACACAGCAAATTACAAATGGCAGATGTTTTTTTCCCAAACTGATTTAAGATGTATTTGGTACATAATTGGTCTAGCCTATATTCCAAAATTAAACACATTTGAGTAATCACCTTTGAGTGTGGACTGTATTATTATGCAAACTGGATGGACCTTATGCTGCGATCCAAAATGTATATCCATGAGTCTGGGAGAGAACATATAGCCCTAGGCGATGCTGTTGGTTCATTAATTGTTCAGGGCGGCTTACAGTTAGCCTACAATTATAATACATTTGTATTTTATTTTGAATAGCCTAGTAATAGGGAATTTCTTATATTTTCATAATGAATTAGGTGACACATTACCTTTAGCTATACAGAATATCTCACCACCATGCATTTCTATCTCCTCCTCTCTATCCTTTATTCTTTTCTCGAGCGTGCAGAGTGGCTGTCAACAATTTAGTGAAATATGTATTGTTTGAGAAAACATGTTACTATTGATGTTCCCGAACAGATTTCACTTGGTTTCCCAATTAAGCACTGGGTAGCTGCGGAAACAGAGTTGGAGAGCACATGGCATACAGAGTTTGGGCAGAATATCACCTGTCGTGCAGCGAGAGCATGCTCCTCAAACAGTGTTGATACATGGAGTGAAATAAGTGTTCTTATATTTATTTCTCAGCTGCTCATATTAAACACAGCTCTGCTATAAAACTGAAGTAGCCTACCAGGCATCATTGAAAAATGGACCGGCGGGACGCATGCGGCCAGATGACATGTATTTTTCCCCCTGCCCCTGTTCCTGCCCATTTTGATAATGGGCCATTCTAAATCGAAACAAATTGTACATATTAGTAAAGACAAGATTAAATTGAGAATAGTCTGATGGGTGAAAATATGACTTCACTTGATGAGAAAACAGCTGCACAGCCTGAGGCAAGGAACAGAGCTCAAGCTTTTTTTGTGACTTTCTCTCATCAATAGCCTATAGTCGCATCATGCAGCCCATATATGTTTTGATTTCTAAGACATTCTAAGGTTTGTATCATTGTAACACCCTGGTTCTGGGACTCTATATGTTGAGCCAGGGTGTGTTCTTTCTATGTGGTTTATTTCTATGTTGGCCTGAGTGACTCCCAATCAGAGGCAACGAGTGTCAGCTGTGGCTGGTTGTCTCTGATTGGGAGCCATATTTATACTGTCTGTTTTTCCCTTTGTGTTTGTGGGTTTTTGTTCCAGTTGGTCATTGTTACCTAGGACGTTACGAGTCGTTTTGTTGTTTTGTATCGTGTGTGCACTTTAACTAATTAAAGTATGTTCGCTCAACACGCTGCGCCTTGGTCCTCCTCTATTAATGACGATCGTGACAGAAAAACCCACCATACAAGGACCAAGCAGCGTGTCCAGGAGCAGGCAGACTGGACTTGGGAACAGTGGAGGAAGAGTTTCGATTGGGTCAAGCCAAATGAGGAGCTGAATGGCGGGAGTTGGAAGCAGAAGAGCGAGAGTTGGGCGAGAACTATAGAGGCCTGGC